ATTTAGATTGTAAGCTCTCTGGGGCAACGACTGTCTCTCATGATGGCTTTGTACAGTGACTAGTGCAATGGAGCACTGATCTTAGTTGGGTCTCTTGGTGCTACTATAATATAATAGTAATTCTCTGACAATTCTCCATGGTGTATGATCCTTTAGGGGCCATAGCCCAGTGGCATAAGATGCAGCAGCCTCCAGGGTTTTCTCACGCATGCAGGGCCATGACCTTCAGAATCAGGCAGCTGTCCTATACAAAAGCATTTCTTGAAGGTGAAATTCTCTGAGGAATAATTCTAACACAACAAAATAAGTTTTTACAAATATTCCAAATGTCAAGCATTGCTGAATTCACAAATGCAATATAGTCCTTTTTGAACATGTGGTTAACATGTAGAACTTCTCCATCAAAATAGCTATAATGCATCTGTAACAAACACTATTACTTTGCTGCAAGGGGACATTGCTTTTTTCACCAATAAGCAAATTAAAAACATATAACCACACTGTTAGTTCTTTGTTTTCCCACAGCTCCAAATGTGAACAAATGAGGATTCTAGCTAGACATGTTATACTCAGGTCTCTGGAAAGGAACTGTATTCCTGCATAAAAGGGGAACATATGCCACAACCGCTAATAGCCAAACATTTACTGGAGATAGACCAGAAACAAAATGCCAGATCCAAGCACTGATGAACTTCAGAATAGTTTGGATCTAGGTTTGACATAAAAAGCTAAAACCCATTAAGAAAAATTATTTCTAAAACTTTGCAAAGTGATGTTTTTTGAGACTCAGTTTGGTCCAAATCTTAACAGCGGGTTGTATGCACTGGGACAAATTCCCTGCTGGTGTAAATTGGTAGGTTCTCTTTTACTTCATTGGAGCAGCAATGTGGACATAGACACACAATTCTTAGTCAGGTTAATAAGTTACCTGTGTACACTCCGAGCACGATATTGAGCAATGTTTTCACAAAAGTGCATCTGAAAACAAAAACTCAGATGAGATTATGTTCACCAACATGGATGATTAACTGAATCTACAATGTACTGTAAAGCTTGCACTGTATATACACTACACTATAAAAGCATGTATGAAATGTTTGAATAACAAAATAATCCTACTGTATCATCATAACTATCCAATGACTCCATAAAAATTGGACACAGATTAAAAGCCTAGCCACAGCAATTTGGGGTTAGGAGGTAGGTTTTATTTTTAACTTCTCTGAAGCCAACCTCATTTTTTCATTTATTGATTATATTCAAGATGTTTTGCATTGGTCCTTACCTTAGAAGAACTGAAATTCAAATTGTCAAATTTGCAAGGGGCCAGCTATGCAGTGTGTGACACACCCACTGTATCCACGAAACCACAAGTTTGTAGGCACTAATCAGTTACTTCCAGAAAAAGCATAATGTAGGGTGTTACAAGCACAATAGTGCCACCTACATTTTGTGCCACTCAATTGGCATTTGGGTCTGAAACTCACCCTTGGGCGTCAAAATATATTTGCTGAAACGGTTCAGCATGGTCAAAAATATGTTAATAAAGATGCCCTACTATGTCTTAGTCAGGGTTATGAATCACACTAGCCATCTTAAACATGTTTAAACTATATTAGACTGAAGTGCTTTTTAAACAGCATTTAAAATCTCTTTGACAAATAGTCTGGCCCCAATGTGGACAGGGCATAAATATTTTTATAATGTGACCACTTATGAATGAATGAATTTGTATATAGGGTTTTAAAACACACAGTACACATGTATTTCCTTGTATCAGAGGGGTAGCCGTGTTAGTCTGAATCTGTAAAAAGCAACAGAGGGTCCTGTGGCACTTGCATCTGAAGAAGTGAGGTTCTTACCCACGAAAGCTTATGCTCCCAATACTTCTGTTAGTCTTAAAAGTGCCACAGGACCCTCTGATGTATTTCCTTGCAGTACTATACCTTGCAATTTGAAATCTATTGTTGACATACATACATAGGTTGCTCTTTTGCACCTTTCCCACTGCATCCCCACTGAGATAGATCTTCTTTTACAACCAGTCCACGTTGAGGGAAACATACTGAGATTAAAACCAGTTGAATTTTTTTATTCTAAGCCTGTTTTTAATGGCAAATGACCTTTCTTCAAAACTGAAAATTTGTATTTCCTTTTTTCCAAAATGTTCTAGTTTTTAATTGATTTTGAAATTTCAATTTTTTAAATGTTCATTGTTTTGTTTTCCCACTGTGCGGTGCTGCCAACCAGACAGTCAATGGCCTGGTCAATGATGCTGACTGAAGCTGCCAGGATCCCTTTTTGACTGGGTGTTCTGGTACAAAACCAGACACCTGGTCACCCTAACAGCAGCAGCCTTTTGGCACTGTGTGGGAGCGAAGGGACAGGAGCTGCTTCCAGACACAGGAGAGGAGTGGGAGGGGAAAGGATGATCTGGCCTGTGTCTTTGTAGAGCTCATCTCTTTCCTCCCGCCTCCCATGTCTGGAAGCAGTTCCTGTCCCTTCCTGCCTGCACAGTGTCGAAAGGCAGCTAACACCTCCTCCAGGCTGCTGCTAGCCACCGACATGACATCACCCACCTCCTGTCTTTTCCCCCTTCACCCTGGCTACAGCACGGGTAGGAAGGGATTAAGCCCTAAGGATGCATTGTGCACCAGGGCCCAGGGAACCTGACTTCAGCAAACCCAGCCAGAGAGGTGGCTTAGCAGCCTATGGGACAGAGCAGCCTCGCGCTTGCTGGGGGCAGGACCCAGGGCAGGGGAGGCAGGTGAAGAGGGTGCTAAGCCCCTGCCTAGGGGGCTGCTGTAGAGCCTGCAGAGTTGGGGTGCGAATAGGCTGGGAATCACTTCCTCCCACCACCACTCCAGAGCTTAGCTGAGGGGTGGAGATGCTACCTGTGCTAGAACTGTGCGGAGCTTCAGCACACACAGGGCTTGGCTCCTCCTGGCCAGTGCCCCAAGCTGGAGGCTCTTGGGCTTTCCCAGGGCGCCGATCCAGCCAGAGACAGTGGGGGAAGGAAGGAGCCTGCCGGCAAGGCTGCTAGGTGAACTGAGCACTCCGACCAGGGGCTGGTTCTCCACACAGTGCTGGGAGCAGGATGTGCCCCGCCGGGGGTATATGGAAGAGAAGCAGGGCTGGGGGTGAAGGGGCAAAGTAGGGAGAGGACAGTGAGAGGGGGAGCACATAAAGGGCTGATGGGTGGGCAGTAGATGCGACACGTAACCGGCCACTGCCTAGCACCTGCCTGCACTCACTGGCTGCTGCAGCTCGCAGTGTGCAGCCAGCGCTGGCCAGATACGGGGGTTGGGGCGCTGCTGGCTGAGAACCAGCATGCAGCGGGGGCTGTTCTGATGAACCAGCAGGGGGAGTGGTCAGCCCTGCGTGCTGCAGCTTTGCTCCACCACCAGCCTTGCACACCCAGCCCTATCATTGGCCACTGGACCATCCCACTCACCACTGGTGGGCGGGCGTCTGGCGCGCAAGGATCCAGACAACAGCAGGACCCACCAGCACTGATGGGATGGGGAGGAGACAAAGTATGGGACAATTTGCCCATTTTTAAGAAAAAGTCAGGATACTTGTTGGAGGGCTTAAATACAGGACTGTCCCTTTAAAAACAGGATGTCTGGTCACCCTACCCCAACTATATTAGAACACATTTTGATCTTGCCTGATTATTACATATGTACATTCTGTGCACTGAATGGGGCAGGGGTCCTGTGGAAAAAATAGTATGTGATCAAATGGGTAAAGACTGTATCAGAAAGGGCACAGAAGTAAGGTTGCATGCATAACCTTAATTGTGGCATTTCCTAACTTTTGAGTGCTTGATTTTACGTCTTAGACCCTGATCCTCAAGCTGATTTGTACAGGCTGACTCCTAAACCTATGCAGAGCTCCACTGATTTCAATGGGGTCTGTACAGCTGCAGGGGTCTGCCCAAGCAGAGCTCTTGGCAGGATCAATTTCTTAATATTGTTATTTTAACATAGTAGACATTGAACGTAATGATGTAAGAGACCTACAAATAGACTTTTATCTGTATTTGTTATGGCATAATAAAAATATGACTACTGATCATGGTTGTAAAATAACTCTAAGGATGTATCAAAATGAGAAGTGTAGGTGGAGTTATAGAGACAGCAGTGAATCAGTCCTTCCCATTCATTTCTCACAGCTCTTGCAGCATCCATTCCAGTGCACTTTAAAGAATAATTTAACAGATTTTCTTAAGTGAGCATAATGTTCATAAAGGCACTAGGTTAGCAGTACATGAAGCTGACAGGGGCAATGACAGTGCCATTTTGCCCATAGGTGTGTCTGCTGAGAATACCACCAATACATTAGCCAATTGTGATGCAATTTTTGTGAACATCTGTCCAATAAAAACAAAACCCCAATTACCAACTTTAAACACCCTCCAGATGGTAATGATTGTTTTCACTATCAACTTGGGCAGGATATGTATCGGAATATTTGAATTAATAAGTTTAAAAGATATATCAATGCAAAGCCTCTTAGAAATTTAACTCTTGTCCACTCTTGTATTACAGTGGGACCTTCAGTGATTATGTTAGCTCTCTGCTCCAACAAATTAGTTAGCTGGTTTGCTCCTCCACAGTGCAATCCAACACTTTCCAAAGAATCAAATTCCAAGGGAGTTACTTGGCAATAAGGGAAGAGGGGAAGGTTAAAGGGGAGAGTAAGAGAGAGACTGACAGACACTGACATGCCTGATTTCCCCCCCTTTCTAGACCTTTATCTTCTCCCATAAAGGAACTCTCCTGGATGACCGGACATAACACTCAGCATCACCATCCCTTTCCTGCATCAGAGCCTACCACATGCAGCATCCTTTAGTTGAAGGCCGAAGACATGACCTTCAGAACGCTGCTTCCCAACAAAATTTACCAATAGAGGTTGCCAAAGTAGACACACGACGCTCTTATTTTCAATTCTGAGGTATTATGTGATCTCTCAGATGGTTCCTCCCTCTGGTAGCTTGAGAGCCAAACACAATCAACCCCCCACAAAAATCCCCCAAACCCAACCCCACAAAATAGGGATTTCAATAATGAATCTGCATGGCATTTTATCTTACTACTAGCCACCAAACCAGCCCTAAAATAATTTCATTAAGTTGGTTCCTTAAACCAAAAAAACAGGAATGTTGTTGCATTCTGACCAATTTTCATTTTCTCATGATTAAAAGTTTTTAATAAACATTCTAACACTTTTCATGACCTCAAAAACATTGGTAGTTTTCCCATGTCCATTTTAGACTTTTGTATCTTCTCCCAAAAGTAACGGAAATTAGACCTTGTGCAGGCAACAGTGTGGCTCAGAGTTGGGAAGTCTGAGTCCCCGCTAGCCCTAGCTACCCGCCGTATATGCCCCATGGACTCCTCCCACCCACAGCATCTCCCAGGGCAACCAAGCAACAGAGGCTTTGGGGAGGAGTGCAAACCTCACAGGGAGTCATTGGGAGAGGGGCTGTGGAAATGTTAAGGTCCCAGAGCATCACTCCATCCTACATTTCAGTTGTCAGAGTGATGCTCTGGCAACACAACACCCCTGAAAAAGTGGTTGGGCCATGGCCTGGGTGGCACCCACATCTGGCCATGCAAGCTATGCCTTGTGTCTGTTGGGAGAGTCAGCCACCATTGTCAAAGAGCGAGAGACTTTCACGGAAGAACTTCTCTCCAAGGTGTTTGTCAAAAGTTTGAGTTAAATGTGTTTTAACATAAACAAAGAACCCTAGAAGGTTTTTAACAAAGAAAACAAAGGTTCTGTCTACAGTGTCAAAGTTGCCGCAACAGTCTCCTAACACAACTTGGTCTTGTAACACAGACAGGACTTAGTCATGCTTTAATTGTATTCAGGAAGCAAGATACTGCCCTGTAAAACATCAGACTGTAGGAGGTTTCGAAAACATGGTATAACGTTGATTTGCTGCAATTTATGTTTTGGGACGGAACCACACTTTAGCTATTGTGGGAAACTACTCGGTTAAAACTAATGTTACCAACACAGTAAACGGAATCAAAAAGGTTAAAAAAAATAATCCTTTATAATCTAGCAAAGAACTCTGTACAATGCTTCTCTTTACTATTCTCCATTCCTTCCCCCACCCCTTTTTGTTGACTACTATAAAATCCTATGAATGATTGTTTAATTTATTGTGGGTGCCTGGCCAAGTAAATTGAGATTACAAACTCATTTTTAGCCATGTTCCAAGGTGGAGGTCAGGCAGAAATGTATTTAGTCTTGACAAAAAATCTATAATAATAATAAACATTTTAAAGAGTGTATATGTATTAGTTAACTGTCTTTTAAAGGATTCTATGATACACTTTGTTTAAAAGAAGCTATACCAAGTAAAATAGCATTGCCTTTATTAAGCTTCCAGCTTGGAAAAAAATATTGTATAGTTTCCAGGAGCTGACTTTTTAGAATTGTCTAAATGCATCTCACTTACCAAGAAAAGTTTAGCTGGGACTACTTGAAGTTTTCTGGAAATTACATCATTCTCCAATACCTCCACCACGCAGCTCTGGGGATAGGAGTCTTCTACTCAGTATAAATGGTTTTCTGAGAAACACAGGGGCATCATTTGCTATGGGTTAAGGGGGGCATTCCCCCCCACACCTTGGTTTGCCTCTCCCCCCCAGAGATTTTTCTTAGGTCTAGATGCTCCATTATGTTTTCCACTCCCCCTACCCTACTCTCCAGCTGCCCCTACTTTGCAGGAATAATATAACCACATATGATGTTCTACATGCTGACCCAACACCCTCCCCTGCCAGATTTCTCTGAAATGATACCTCCTGGAAGAACAGTCCTACTTCAGAAAACAAAAACAGCCGTGCACTTTCATGACGCCAGCTATAGTATATCACTCATACACCCATCATGTCAACATGAGTAATCATAGTAGTTGAGCCACGTAACATGCAACCTTTCACACAGTGCTTGTTACAACATATTGCACAAGACAGCATATGGTAAACACACAGTGTTTTATATCTGACGTATAGTTGCTCTGTGATTGCCAGAAACCAAGGTTGCAAACATTGACACTCACTTCTGCAAAGCCAAGAGGTTCACATTGCGTTTGTGTTCCCTACTGTTGTGCAACAGAGAAGTGGGTGGGAAGGATCTAAATACAGAGCTTCCACCAGACAGGGTTTTATTTATGGAAAAAAGAAAACATTTCTTTCAGGATGAAAATATGTTTTAAAAAAAATGCTTCAAAGGCAAGAAGTATAAGGTAACCAGTATTTTTACAACAAAACTCTGTCAGCTGGCAAAACAAGTAAGTACCTGACCTTGACAGCCCCTTTTCTTGCTCTGATCTATTTAATGCAAATAGCTTGATATTTTTAGAAACATCACCTTCCCACGTGTACAGAGCTGGGCAATGAGGCTAATGAAAACACACATTTTTTATGTTTCTAGGTCAATTTAAAATATAAACAGGAGGGGTTGTTTTTGTTTTTGCTAAAAGGGCTCATGACTAAATGTATCTTAATGTCATGTCACAGAATGCTAATAATTTCTATCTAGATTTTGTCATCCTTGTGGCTCTCTCTCTCTCTCTCTATATATATATATATACTTTTGACAAGGTAACTTCCTACAATAAAGGAATTCTATCTTTAGTTTAAAATGTCATCAAGCTGAAACTTTGTATAGAAAATGGGTCTGATAATACAAAAGCAAAAATATATTTGTTAAATTGTCTTTCAGTTCTATAAGGAAAAATACTTGTTTCTATGACCTCCCATGGTTTTTGCCCAGTTCTAGCAAAACATAGTTTATTTTCAAATAGAATAATATTTAGCATTTATGGAGTACCTTCTGTCTGAGCAATGCATGGTGTTTCACAAATATTTAGCCTCCTAACAGCAATCTGAGGTGGTTATTACTATTCCACTATTAAATCATAGATGAGGAAACTGAGGCACACAGGGGTTAAGTCACTTGCCCAAGGTCACAAAGGATGTATGTATCAGAGCTGGGATTAGAATTTAGGTCTAGTTCCCAGTCCTTTTTCTAACTAGAGCTGGGTGAACAATTTGCAATGAACATTTATTCATTGAATGTACCCCCTTTATCTTCTGTTCATGAACAAGATGGGACTTCTACAAGCTTGCTCAAGTTTCATAATTGTTTGGCTACTTTTTGCAAGCAAATTTCAGCCTCTGGATTCAAACATTCACACACAGTTCACTGTGATGGTTCCCACAAGCATTTTGATATTCAATCTGTGTGACTTGTCACCCCAGTCACATTATATTATTTCTGATCCCTGACTGGATAAACAAAACTTTATAATTCTGCCTGAAACTACTCTGGTTTAATGATGAAATAAAGGACTTGAAATTTACTGAATGAATATTCATATGAACAGAATTGTATGCACATGAAAGTTCACTTAAAATAAATAAGTATGCAAATATGGCTGAAGCAAATAAACTATTTTTACTAATTACCTAGCACTAGTTCTGCCCTCTAGCCAATTTTCTCTCATTTCATATATTAAAAAAGCAGTTTTGAAGATGAATTCATATTTAATGTTTTGGTGATGGCTGGAGACAGCTTGAAACAATAGCTGAGAGTGATGTCAACTGCCACATTTCAATTGAGTGTTTACTCTGAAGACTAATGAGACTCTTTTAATTGTCCATTGCTGACCAAGGCATACATGAAAAAGGGTGACAATCTTATCATGAAGATATGCAGGATATACTGAAAGAAGGATAGACTATGCGGGGTTCAAGTGGGTGAAACATGCGTAAGTACCACCTCCTATTTTTCCAATTCCATTCTGGGGAATGAGAGTCACATGTTCAGAGACACAAAACAAAAATAGAATATTCTCTGAAATATTATGTTATTAAAGCCTTGAGAAGGAAAAACTTTGGTTGATGTCTGAAGTAGTACTAAGTGTCTTGGCACTGTACTTTAATACATTAAAGATAAATAAAAGCAAATCAACATGAGATACATCAGATGAGATAATGAACAGAATTAGGAGTGTATGGCTTTGTTTTCAGCATTTTAGGAGTACAGGGCTAGATCCACAAAGTGGATTAAGGCTCATCATTGCAATGTCAAACTTTTGGTGCCCTGCTGTCCAGTGGAATCCTCATCTAGATTTGGGCACCTATACAAAGCATGGGGAGAGTTAGGCACCTAAGAGTGGGACTCACACAAGTCAGGAACCTGAGTGAGGAGCTGCCTAAACTAGACAATAGGAAATGCAGAGGAGAGTGGTGGAGTCTAAGCCCTGCCCATCAAAGGATCTTAGGCTCCTAACTTCAGACCAGAGGGAGGCACCTCTGGGTTCATTGCTTGCGATTCACAGCCATGAACCCTCTCTAGGAGTCAGATACCTAAGACAGGTCAGCCCTTTTTGAGAAAAATTGTGGTGGTGCCATTGCTGCCCCTGTATCGAATAACCCCATGGTTAGAGCACTCAACTGGGGTATAGGAGACCCTGGTTCAAATGCCCTTTTTGCCTGATACAGAGTATGTGATACACAAGACAATCACCACCCTAGGGCCAACATACTGAAGTTTTGCCTAGGGTGGTGATTGTCTTGTGTATACTCTGTCTAGTTTAAGGAAGGTGCCCCTCGCCCATTTCCATAGTGCACAGGGCCCAAACATTCTTTAATTTGGGCCTATATGAAATGCTTAAATATTCATTGGGCCAGAGAGAGAGAGAGAGAGAATTACTCTATAGCCTAGTGGTTAGTGCACTTTCCTGAGAGACCCAGGTCCCAGTCCTTGAATCTACTGATTTGGGCTCTGTGGACAAAATAGGTAGGGGTTCCCCTTGTTTGAGAATCCTACCAGACCATGAGCAGCTTGGTGGTGTCAGGACTTAGTGGCTTTACACATGCCCAGCAGAAATGTAGGTGCCACAGGGACTTTACGAGTGGAAACTTTCAGGGGTTCTCAAACTTCATTGCACTGTGACCCCCTTCTGACAACAAAAATTACTACACAACCCCAGGAGAGGGGACAGAAGCCTTAGCCTGCCCGAGCCCCACTGCCCCGGGTGGGAGCCAAAGCCGAAGCCCCAGGCAAGGGGCCTGTAACCTAAGCCCCACTGCACAGGGCTGAAGTCCTTTGGCTTTTCCCCTGGACGATGGGGCTAGAGCTTCAGCCCAGGTGGTGGGGCTCAGGCTTTGGCCCAGGGCCCCAGCAAACCTAAGTCAGACCTGGCAACCCCATTAAAATAGGGTTGCAACCCACTTTGAGATCCCAACCCACAGTTTGAGAACCACTGAATATATGGTCTGTAGAAGTCAACAGAGTATGGCAGCAACTGAACAGGATTTTGAAGATCAAAATATTAGATTTGGGAGCCTCATGTGGCAGTTGGGTGTCTAAATCCTTTTGTGGATCTAGCCCACAGATATATAACACTGAAGTTTACTTCCAACCTTTTAAAGCATATTTTGTGTTTATATGCTTAAATAAATAAATTTTAAAATATGCTATTTTGTATTCTAACGTTTTACAAATCGAGATTTATAACAGATTCAGAGACAAAATCATAATTTGACAACCTTCAGCTTTCTTATTGATTATCAGATATATCGGTCAGCAAAAAAATGCACTAGTTGTCAACAAGTACAGCATATGTTTGACTTTTTTTCCCCATTGTTCTTTGATTTTCAGGAGAAATTCACAACTATCCACATTTATGAAGTCTAAACCTTTCAAGCTTAAATATAAGTCAAAGGAAATTGTTCTAGCACCATTAGATCTGAATGAGGTCGCTTTCCTGGTGCAGTTCTCCTCACTTTGGGCCTCATTCTTCTCTCACTCATAACACTTCAGTACCAATGAAAGGAGACTTAGGTTCCTTAATTTTAAAGACTAAGGTCCAGATCTTCACAGGTATTTTGGTGCCTAACTTCCATTAACTTTGGTGGGAATTAGGTATCTAATAATCTCTGAGGATCAGGGCCCATGGCCCCAATCCTCTAAAGACTTACACATGTATTTAAGTGTGTGAGTAGTCCTGCTGACCTCAATGGGATACACTAATTCATAAAGTTAAGAATGTGCATAGGACTGGGTCCAGTGACAGAAAAGATTAAGGGAAAGCAGTAGGCTACCAATATGATGCACAGGCTCAATGATCTTTGCTATCCAAAAACAAAGATAGAAAGGCTGTTTTTCTTTTTCTCTTACAAAGATGCTTTCAGCAAGACAGTCTGGATAAACAGGAATCATTCTACAGATGGTGTTTCTTAATGAATGATGCAGAGACATCGGCATGTGACAGGTTCTAATTGCGTGACATGGTGTGACTCCCATTGCTTTTTTGCCCTCTGTATACACCCATTCTTCTAATTACAGGAAATGTCTTTAATATAAGCAGCAGTGATACTCAAACCTGCTATAGTCTTGTTTTACAATATTTATATTATTGAGCCTTATGTGACTAATTTCCTTACCAAACCTCCATGTGATCCCACAAAGAAGAAAACTATTGTGAAGGCCGATTGTACATGAATATAGAGATTTTTGGTCTTTAACTCTAAATGTATAGCATTTTGCTTCCTTTGTTTTTAGAATTAAATGGGATAATTGAATAACTATTTACAGTGTGCACTAAAGAGTTTATAGAGGGACACTACCCTCCTATGACAATTTTCATAATCAAAAAATGCAAAGTTTATACTTTGTGAGTGAATTAATGATTGTACAGTATGAAGTTACTTCTGCCACAAAGGGCTTGTCTACATTACAAAATGTTAATGTGTTTGAACACAGCTGTGAAGAATCAGGTTAGCTGATATGATGCTGATCGTGGTTTAATGATTTGCAGGACTGCCCCCCCCCAGCTGATTAAATATATATAAAAAAAAAGGTCAAATGCACATGAGTTAAACTTAAGGCAAGTATACAATGGCTAACAAACCAAAAGTTTGGCAAGAATGGCTAACAAAACAAAATGGGCAAGAACTAAAACAAACAAAAAAAAAGACACTCTCATGAAAAGGAAAAGGAAATGGGGGGAGGGAGAATCTTGTTTTGCATTCTTTTCCTTCTCCCATTTTTGTCCGCTTATCAGCCATGTAGTGCCTGATTCTGCTACCTCTTAAATGGAACTATTCATGATTAATGGTAAAATCTGTCTTAGAGTGAAGGTTTTGGGGCAGCATTGTGTCTTTCTACCTAGCATGTTATTGTACCCTATATAAAGAATAATTCCTCAGACTGATGTTGTGAAGGTTTAGTTAATGTTTGCACAGCACTTTGAAAAAAAGAAAAGGGCTATTGTCAAGGCTGATTCCCCACTCTGGCACTTTGAGTGCAGAAGGTAGGGGCCCGCAAGGATTCTAAAAATTAATACTGGCCACTCCAAGCTGGTATTAATCTCCCAAGGTCACAGTTTCTCTCTGACCTTGGGTGGGTAGATGCTGCCACCACCCAAGTGCAAAAAAAACCCCTTGGGACCCAGGAAGGCTCACTTGGGAATTCCTTCTTGTGGGGTACCCTCAAGCCCTTTCAACACTCCCCCTCCCCCAGGGAAGAGTGAGAAAGAAAACAAAGGAAATTAGCTGTTGCCTCGAGCACAAACCTCTTAGAAAACCAAAAATACAATACTGTTCTTAAAAAAGGTAAATTTTATTAAAAACAAAAAGAAAGAAAATACATCTGGAACTTAGGCTTTTGCTAGATTTAAAAAACCCACTTACAAAATTTAAATATCAAGAATAACTTTCTTGAGGTCCAGCTTAAAGGTTACAAGCAAAACAAAAGCATTTGGGGTTAGCACAGAGGAGTCCACAAGACAATAAGAAATGAACAGAAGTAAATCGAATTGCATCTTTCTAAACATTTCTGATCTACTTATATATCTGGGTTGTTAAATAAGTAGTTCTAGATATGACCTGATGATTTTCATTCTGGCCTTCAGCTTCTCACAGCATAACTGCTTCCTGTTTCCCTCTTTCCCAGAGAACAATAACACACACACAAAGGGAAGTTTTTTTCCCAATTTTTAAAAGTTCTAGCCCTCCCATTGGCTCTCTTGGTCAGGTGCCCACTCCTTTCCTTTTATCTGTGGGCTTGTTAACCTTTTACAGGTAAAGCCAGTAAAGAACAGCTACTAAGAGGAATTTTATAGCTAACTGGCTGGCTGGGTGGGTGTCCATAAAAGGGAGCTACCTTCCCCCACTTCATTTATGACAGCTATAGAAGCACTAAACATGATTATTTTATTAAATTGAGTTAAGATACCTTAACTAGGTATCTACCTTATATCTAGGCTAGAGTACTTAAAAAAAACCCATTGTTGTCATTTTCAAATGGTTATGCCCTGATCATGCTGGCTAGATAAATACTGTTTAAATGAAGTTAGCATGAACTGGGTATAGATTCCTAGATTAAAAAGCCAGAGGAGACCATTGTGATCATCTAATCTGATCTTCTACATAATACAGGCCATTGGACTTCAATTAGATAGTTTCTGTTTGAACTAGGACATATTCTTTAAAAAAACATCCAGTCTTGATTTAAACATTTTCAGTGATGGAAAATCTACCACAACCCTAAGCAAGATGTTCTAATGGTTAATTACCCTCACTTTTAAAATTTTGCACCTTATTTTTAATTTGAATATGTCTAGCTTCAACTTCCAGCCATTGGATCTTGTTATGCCTTTGTCTGCTAGATTGAAGAGCCCTCTATTGGTCAGATTTCTGTTCACCATATAGGTACTTTCAGATTGTGATCAAGTCACCCTCAACCTTTGCTTTGAGAAGCTAAATAGTTGTTTTTCAGTGTGAAGCGTTTCCCAGTTCTTTAATAATTCTTGTGCCTGTTCTCTGAATACTCTCCAATTTAAAAAAAAATATAAATAGCATAAACTAGTTTAGCCAACATATTATTAATAGTAAACATTTATATTGCGGTGATACCTAAAGGCCACCATGAGGTAATATATAATAAGCAGAACTAATTTAAAACTGGAATTTCCATCCCATGGAAAATTCCAATATTTTGATATTTGTTTTCATCCTGAGTCAGGACAAAAAGTTGAAATGATGTGATCCAGAGCATAGCAGAGAATGGAGGAATGAGGTATTTGGAACCATTGATTCAGCGATTAATATCAAAATGAAATGTTTTGGTTTGGATTGCCAAACTAAAACAAAACCTTTCAATTCAGCATGTCTTAATGTTTTGTCTTTCTCTGTGGGTGAGTTGCCATGGTGCATCATGGGAGATGTAGCCTCACCAAGACCCATAGCCCATAAGGGAGAATGGGGGCAGTAGGAACCTGGAACTACAATTCCCATGAGGGACAGTAGCAGGTCAGGTAGATGCAAAGATTAGTATTAACATAACCTGAAATGATATTTCATGTCAGCTAATTGACAGGAAACATTTTAATTTGGGTTGTCCCCTAAACATTTTTGTGTTGATTTTTCCCAATGGAAAATAATGCCAAAATCAATCTTTTCCTTTGAACATTTTGCTTTCAATTACAGAAAATGTTTTGCTCAAAATGTTTTGACCAGCCCTAATAATAAATGACAGTCACTGCCCCCAAAGAGCTTACAGTCCTTCTTCCTCTTCCCACTTCTGAGTGACAAAAGAAACAATGAAACAAAAAACAACAACCCCGTCTGGGATGATCCTGAACCCATAAAACTAGACAGCTGGCAATGTGTACCGTGATCTCTTACAGATTTCCTGGGACAGCTAGCTCAAAAAAAGGACAATCCTGGGAAAAACTGGACAGGTGACAACCCTACCTAAAAGCCTGTTATGGAGAGGATATAGTTAAACTCTGTGCAACTCTTCTCTCTCTTGCTTCTGTATGGGGATGTCTACTGATAGGACATAGAAAGGGAGGGACATAGGACTTTCATCTTTTTGCACCTGCAGTAGTGAGATAAGCATCTCTGTATATCTGAGAAGAATGAGAGTCCCAATAAGAAGTGTATCTGTACTGTTTAAAATTATACAACAGAAGAGTGTAACTGGGGTAGAAGTATTTTCTTTAAAGACCCAGCTCTTGGAGTCAGGTGACTGAGAATCTCAGCTTTCATTAAAAGAAAAACAAGTTTTTATCTCTCAGGTCTGTGGAGAAAAGCTGAAGCCAGTGTAAACTAAAGGCTCTGTAACCAGCAGGTGAATGAAGAAAGCCCAAATGACATTCCTTTAAAAATATCTCATGATTTTTAAGTCAATCTCATGAATTTTGAAGGGTTGGTAAGAGCACGAAGGGAGAACGGAAGAGTTCAAAAAAGAATTATATAAGTTCATGGAGCATAGGGCCAACAATGGCTATTAGCCAAGATGGTCATAGATGCAACCCCATACTCTGGGTGTCTCTAAGCCTCTGACTGCCAGAAGTTTTGAGTGGCCCATAGGGATGGATCACTTGATAATTGCCCTGTTTTGTTCATTCCCTCTGAAGCACCTGGCACCAGCCACTGTTGGTAGACAGGCTAGAGGACACATCGGCTGTTTTTACGAGGGCGATGAGGGAGGGAAGGCAGGTATGAGAGGCAGGGATTAGGGGAACAGGGACTGGGCGAAGAGGAATCTGGTGGCCGGCGGGAGCCCGCCCGCAGAGGAGGAGGGGGCTGTATTGCTGCGGTGCGGACCAGACGGGACAGCCGCCCCCTCCGAGCTTCGCCGCCGCCGCAGCGCCCCCTCTGTGCGCGGCCTGCCCTGCTCCAGGGCTGAGCGTGACTCCGAGGCTGACTGGCCCGGGCTCCTCCTCCTGTGTCTGTGGCGCGGGTGGTTTCCCCTCCCCCTCAGTCCCGTGCCGGGCGGATCACGATGGATGCCGCTCGCTGCCTCCTGCTCCCGGGCTCGGGTCGCCACCGCCTCGCTGCCTGCCCGCGGGACTAAGGAGGGAGGGGGCGCCTCCCGCGAGGAGCGTCCGGGGCGCTGGGGTAAGTGTCTGAGCGGGGGAGCGGCGCTTCCTCTGCCAGCCCCGAGGAGACGGAGCTCCGAGGGGCCTTTCCTGAGTCGCCAGGCCGGGTCACCCTGCGAGGCCTCCGGCTTCCTGGGAACTCGAGTGCCGCTGTCTGGCCTGGCGGGGTCGGTGCCGCCAGGGCCCGGGCAACCTAGCAAAGAGCTTCGCCCCGCGTCGGACCGCGGGGCGGCCGGGACAGCAGCCTGCGGGGAGGTGATGCGGTGCGTCAGGGACCCCCGGAGAGTGCGAGGGGCGGCAAGTCCCAGACAGGCCGTCTCCTGGCTGGGGAGGAGGGAGCGGCAGGTCCCAAAGAGCCCCTCGCCGCCGGGATCGTGGTGGTGGGGGGATGCGAGGCCGGTTGGCTTCAGACTAGAGATTTCCCTTCCCCCGAGGACGTGTGTGAGGCTCAGGGCCCCAGAGACCGCTAGGCGGTTGGGACATGAGTTTAGCTGTGGCCTGGCCCCTTCCCTGTTCTGCGTCTGGGCTGGGGGAGCCTGTGTGTGTCGCTCTGCTGTATGTTTGTCTGTTTATTTGGGGGTGTTTAAAGCTGTCTGGGGCAAAGGAGCAGCAGGTGCCTCTATTGGGCACGTCCCAATGACGCCGAGTGTGACACTGGTTTTTACAGGCTCCTCAGGTTAGGGGTCAGCTTCCTCGTTGTCTGCCGATTCTATTGCTTTTTTCCCCTTTCCTTTTCCAGTTGGAGTTAATTATTTTGCATTTTAAATGTTTTGGAGTTTGGACCAATAGTGTCCGCAGCGTGATCCTACTTGTTCTGACTGGCATTACTTTATTTAGTCCTGGAAGAGAGGATGCCAAAGGTATGATCCTTCTGGGGATCACAAATATTTTGTTAATCTTTTTTTCTTTACTTTTAATAATATTTTAATGACTTTCATTACAGAAGTATCCAGTCTAAAGAGACTGAGGTAATAGAAGTAAAACTAATTTAATGAGCAGTCATTTTGATTATTTAACATTTGTTCTTTCATCAGAATCCTAAATTACAAAAAGACTGTTTTTGTCTCAAGCTTTTG